ATTTGCAAGCCTGCTCTCATTTTCTTCCAAAAATAAATGAATGAGAGGCAGGTAACATACCCAGAGAAATAGTTCACAGGAACATTTTTAACAGTTTAATGACCTGATTCGCAGGAAGTATGCAGATCTTATTTATCAATCCTGCCTCGCAAATTTTAGTATGTGTTTGGTGTTCTTTTCCTTCATAATACTAGAAGACATCAGCTTTGGCATACCCCTCATTTTCCTGATTTGCAAAACTTGGGCTTGGTTCAGCTAAAAAGCAACAGATTCTTTCCCATTACAACTTGTTATCTGAACTACTCACTGTAAGACTGTCAGTTCCAGTAACATGACATTTATTAGATGTCATCCTACTTGCAATTCAAAGCAAAGAATCCAGAGCTCAGAGCAGGAAACAAAGCATTAATGCAAGTAAATATTCTGTTGTCCTCAAAAGCCCACTCTTAACTTTCACACCTTACAATGCTAAATAAGACACCATAACTGAGTCTCAGAATCCTAGGGTATGAACCCAAAGGAAAATGAACCATCATTATTATATTTCAATTTAAAAAATCAACTTTTTTTTTTTTAATAAAAAAGGAGGTGTTACATAGGCAGAGCAAGCAAAGCTTGGTCTCTCTGCCCTAATCCGTATTAACAATAAGGCAAACGGCAGCACCTCCTGTGACTGGCTCCAAGCTAGGCAGCGCCACATAACATACACCAGTTACAGCTCTACAGCCAGCAGACCAAACAGAAAAGGCAACCCTAGGGGCTCCTTCTAGATTTCCCCTTCTCTCTGCCACATCAATTAATGAAAACTACTCTTCCCCCACACACTACCCCAAAGTACATGTGAAAATCCAGCTACAACTCAAATGGATGGATAAGCAATTCCCTTTCATGCTTTAGGAAAGATGAAGTAGCCAAACTCAGTTTAAAGTAGTACAGTACTTGGATTCTGAGATCTAAATTAATGTTTTTTTTTTTAAGACAAACACTACCAGTTCTCACTTCCACAGAAACTCGCCATAGGGGGCAAATAAGATGAAGCACTTGATTAAAACCAAGCAGCTCTTGAAATTCACCTGTGCCCAAAACGTTATGGCATCTTCAACGTGGCAGCCCACAACATCTTCAACTTGAGGGAGAAAAAAGAAATGGTAAGGAAGATTTAAGGTACTCCTGAATGTAAGATTATGCTGTTGGTGTTGTTTGTTTGTTTTTAAAAGAAACCTCGCATTACCTTTGCTGCACTCTGCGTCTCCATCCATGACAGCAGGTCCTGAGACACCACCACACCCCTTGGGATGCTCCTCGCAGACCCTGCCCCGGAGCCTTTCACAGGTCAAAAATGAGACTCCGCACCCCACAGCAACCCCAAACCCTGCTCCAGCGCTCCCCACCACGCCCCCCACCCCTTCCTGCTCTCCCACCGCTTGCCCCAACTCCCCACCAGCGCCACCAACGCGTCAGAGCCCCTTTTCTTTGCTAAAAACGCGGTTTTTAATCCGCGAGGAAGCGCCGCAGAGCAGAGCCCCACCTCCCCCAGCCCAGCGCTACCCGAGGTGGCCGGGCCCTGCCGAGGCCGCACGTGCCTCCGCCGCCACCGCGCATGCGCCCGCCGCCAGCCCCGGGCCGTGAAATGGCGGCCCCGGCCCGCTGAGGGGGCGTAGGGCAGTGCCTGGGTGCCTCGTCCACCCCCGGGGGCGTTTGGGGGCCCTCAAGGGCTGTGGTGGCCGGGCTAATCAGAGGTGTGGCAGCTTGACAAAGCGGTTCTGTGCTGGTGCTGTTAATTGGCTGTCAATTTACGCGCTGCCCTTCCTCCCAGACCTGAGAAAGACACACGTTTTATAACTAGTATCGGGAGCGCGGCATCAGGTGGAGCTCCTTCCCTGGGATCACTGATCAGTGTTTACTTCTACGAATAGCCATCTTACGCCTAAGTCTTTTCAGAAGATGAATATGTGGTCTCTACTCTTGAATGTTATAATGGCAAATAATTCCTCTGAAAGCCAACTATTTAAAACATGGAAAGTGCATAAATGTTGCCTAAGACCCATGCAATTACCCTTTAATATTTTAGAGCACTCTGTGACAAAACCCCAAAAACATTTTTCTCGTGCCACATTTCTTGATTAGAGTCAGGAATGGTTAATGTGTCTGGCTGAACAGCAGATATTGCCCACAAATTGTACAGATGAACTGATAATTTAGCCATCCCAGGATGTTATGTTCAAAGTTCATGGCTGCTCTCAAGAAAACAGATCACCAACAACTACATGTTAAACAATTCTTTATATAATGATCAATGGCAATGGCAAACATTTTGGCATCTGGTCTCTTTTACCAAAATATATATATAAATATATATATATATATTGTTTTAATAGAAGTACAGAGAGATTTTTCAGTGGAATTGGAGGTTACAATTTCAATCCTTCAAAATGATATTTTTCAGGATAATTTCTGTTTGGTTACTTTGAATAACAGAAGTTCTGGTTAAGTCTGCAAATCACACTCAGGACATGACTTCTGTCTCCAGTTTTCACAGCCAACAATGTTTTAAAATATATTCTACCGATTTTTTCACGTATAAGTAATACAAATCCTGCAAAAAGTTCTACACAAGTAGTACCAAGAAGTCAAAAGTAAGCCTTCTAAAAACAAACCATCTTTTTTTACTTAGAAGTCATCAACATGGGTAAAAAGTGGTCAGAACACCTAAGCAATATTTATTGCAGATGATATTTTCTCAATCGTTTTCCAGCTACAGAGAGTTATTATGAAATAAATATATTAATTTTGTAGTGTCATTTAGATGGAAACATTAAGTATGTTTAAGCACTGAGTAAGATTTTAAAAGATTAACTTTAATAAAAAACAGTTCATGGTGACTGAAGTATAGTTTAGTGTGACTGGATTTGGGGAAAGCAAGCATTTAAAACTGGCAAGTATTTTTAATTTTAAAAGTTAATAAAAGTACAAGTTATTTCCTAAAAGTGGAAATAAATAGGGGATAAGTATGACATTATTGGAATAAACGTCCTCTGTTTACTTTGCAATAATCTCTTGGACGACTGAAATCAAAATATTTTTTCTATATTTACTTTTTTTATATATATATAAATTTTAATCTCCGTTTTTCGGTTTCTTGTAATTCTACCGTGAAATTCCCATTTGCTTGAGACTAAATACATCTACAGAAACAATTGCTTATTAAAACCAGAAGAGGGAGCTCAAATTAGTATTTTTATTTATTAAGATAAAGCAGTATGTAACCGTGTTGAATTTAATGGTAAAGGTACTTTTTAAACATTCAGCATACACTTCGATGTATTGTTTATCTAAATTAAGATTACAGACCAATCTCTCTGATTGGCATCACTGGTAGTGAATGGCTGCATAGTTCAGAGTTAAGTGAAGGTAAATGACTGCTGCTCCTGATTGAATTTGGGCAATCCTTATTCCCTTCGCACTCCCATCAGCCGCGTGAACTACCAAGAGCCTGCCTTCTTTCCCACAGCTGCTATTTGAACAAAAAAAGCAAGTTACCTAAATGCATTCAACTCGCCTCATTTCCTCTGCCAATAAGGCACATAGAGGCATCACAGTGGCATCAGTTCTCTGACGGGAATCAAAGCTTTTAAAGTTTGTCCCAACCCATGCTATAAAGTCTCAGTACACACATACCACCTAGAAAGTCTTCAATCCAAGAGACATCTTCAAGTACTTTTAAGGACAAACTGACTTGCACTTTCCTGTTTTCAAGGGAGCCTAGCACTGTTTTTGCCTCCTAATTCCAAGCCAGGCTCAGCCAGGCACTCACTCTGTACTATGCTGCTTCACAGATTTAAAACATCACACAAAGTTGCCAAATTTTACATTTTCACACAAATGCCCACAACCTTAAATACAATATTTGCTGCCAGAGCTGTGAACGTGTACAAAGAAAATAAAAGGACGTCTCCCATCTTGAGGGACTCTGTATTGGATCAGACATGATGAAAGAAAATCTGTTTGCTAAGGAAGTTTATATCAAATAATGTATAACTGTTTGCTTATGTGCAGTAAATAGCATGTAAATTTCCATGTAATGTTTTCAAAAGTTCATTGTAATGAAGTCACTGTTACAATAGTATCAGACAAACAGAATCACCAGAATGGTACAGAATCACTATAGAAATCTGGGATAAAGCAGGCAGCAAAACCCTTTAAAGTACCTAGTAAGTACGTGTGACAATAGTTTTACAGACATACAGAATTTCATGTGTAACAACTACTTATACATTGGCAAGAACAGAGCCTAGAGAAGTGTGACAGACAAAAGCCTGGAGAAGAGGAGGCTGAGGGGAGACCTCATCGCAGTCTACAACTTCCTCGTAAGGGGGTGTCGAGAGGCAGGAGACCTTTTCTCCATTAACACCAGCGACAGGACCCGCGGGAATGGAGTTAAGCTGAGGCAGGGGAAGTTTAGGCTGGACATCAGGAAGGGGTTCTTCACAGAGAGAGTGGTTGCACACTGGAACAGGCTCCCCAGGGAAGTGGTCACTGCACCGAGCCTGACTGAATTTAAGAAGAGATTGGACTGTGCACTTAGTCACATGGTCTGAACTTGGGTAGACCTGTGCGGTGTCAAGAGTTGGACTTGATGATCCTTAAGGGTCCCTTCCAACTCAGGATATTCTATGATTCTATGATTCTACATTTGAATTTTATGCAGAAGAAATTAAACCAACAGAAATGGAAAAAAAATATTAAGATTAAAATGCCAATATTAACAGAACAAACCCAACCATTAAAAATCCATGAAAAAAAGATACAAGGATTCTATAAATAAATGGCGTCATAAAAGTTTAAGAATTGACGTATATTTTCTTTACCCTATTACAATGTAATACTTTAAAACGTACTTATGCTCTCTGTACTTAAATAACAAACAGTTCAGTAAACCTGGAAATATGATTTTCCATTTTCAAAGGAGTATCTACATAACAATTCCAGAGACTAGAAACTCTTTAATCAAAGTGCCAATTTTATTAGAAGTTAATTAAAAATCAATTTCAGCAATAGAACAAAGCCAAATAAAGAAATGAAGTAAAAGCAGGTGCAGAGAAAAACACTCTTCAATACAACAATTGACACTGTTGCACCTAATCAGTATTTCTTCATTAATCTCATGGCTTCTTTGATCTCACTGGACTTTTTTCTGTTTGTTTAGCAGCCTTCTCCTTTTTCAGCTGTAACAAAGAAAGACACAACAGTGGTTCAAGTTAATTTGCAAGTAGACTAACAATGCAATATTAAACCTCTACAGTCAGTCAAAAATTTACCAGAGTAATTTATGAGATAGAGAGAGCTACAGATTATTATTAGCCCAACCCAGAACTGCTCACTTTTGCATCATGTGACAAAGGAGCACTTCTATAGCCCTGCAGCTACTCCCCTCTTCATACCAAGGCTGCCTTTATCTCTGATAATGGCAGTGAAGGTATTTATGTATCCCTCAAGGCCAAAGTGCCTCACAAATGTTCATGGTTTAATCTTTATCTCAATGAAAGTTAAAGGTGTTTTATTCTAGATGTGTAACAGACACAGTAAGACCAACCAGCATGCACAAAATCACAAAGAAAGTTTGAAGCTGAGCTAGATGCTAAACCTTTATCTCAATGTCTCAGTGTCCAAAATCCTAGGGGGAGAAAAATTCTAGTAATTTAGATTTAACAGTAACGTTTTCTCCTATGAAATGATACCTTTTTTTCTATATTTACAACAATTTACCACATTCTGAGATGATTTCCAAAATAAATCAAATTATTTAAAATTTCACAAATTAGCACAGCTTTCTCATTAACAAACACACCTTTTTGCAAGGAGCAAGAGTAACAGTAATTAAGCTTTTAAGAGTTAGATAGTTAGTTCTGCAACATCTCTTTACAAACGAATTCATAAACAGTAAAAACGTGCTTCCAGCTAAGATGGTGGAGCTAAGAAGCTAATGTGGGGAACAAATAGGTATTTAAGCATCTAGGTAAAAGTGCAGGGCATTTGAAGTTAAAATACAGTCGGTGCATTGGAAGAGGCAACTCTGAGGGGGTGATTCAGGTCATCTACACCCGATTTAGCACAACTACCCAGACATTCCTACAGTAAGGAAAAAAGCATGAGAAAGTTTTTAAGTGACATAGTAAACACACATGCCTAAATGTTACATGGGACTTACAGTGAGTCTGTTTTGTTGTTTGTTTTTCTCACACAGTAAAATACTTTGTTTTTACGTAACAGAGAGTTAAGGAAATAAAAATATGCCCAGTTAAGGTAAATACCATCCCAGAAAGTAACTGACGTCTAAAAACCTACAATAAATAGCACATAACTGTATTTCAAATCTCCATTTAATGCGCTTGTTTTTCTCAGGATGAGAACAGATGATATAATGCATTTATATGCCACTTAAATCATATGTTCATCTTTGTTGCCCATCTTTTTGTGAAAATATATTTAAATTAAGCAGTAAATGTGGTAACTTGCCCGTTCCTGGTAACGTTTTTCAAAATAAGCCATGTCATCTTCTTCTGAACGCCCTTCATGAGAAACTTGCATTGTGGCAGTAGAACAACCTGAAGTGGAAAAAACCCTCTATTCCAATAGCTATTTTTAACATTTGGAAAACACTTTGGAAAACATTTAAAAATGAGAAGTCAGAATTGATGTAGTAACGTAGTAAAACACCTTTATAGACAAGTAACAAACCGTGGCAACTGCAACTAAAGAGCATCCATCCCCTTTACTCTAAGGACTGCAGCTATGATACGCAGACTTGAAGGAGTTCAACAGTGATATTAATTGCTTAATATTTACACTAAATAAGAAACATAAAGTAAGCATAACCGATCCCTAATTCCATGCAGAAGACTTTCTAGCAGAAGGCAGTTTCACAGGATTGAACTGAATCTGTACTACTCAGATATGAGCTTCTAGTAGGAATCAAAATTAAAACAAACAAACAAAAAAAAAATGTATCCAACAAATAAGTGACATCATTAATAGGGAAGATACAAAATACTAAATACATATATATTTTACTTAAAAAGCACATCGTGACCAAAATAACAAGCAGTAAAAACATAATTATTCTAAGCACTTCTAGGACAGGAGAATTATACTATCTTTAAATTAGGCTTCAACACTCATATTAATATTTACCTTTAATTTTTATCCCTAAACATATTAAAAGTCATTAATAGAACCAAATAATTTTATATTATATACTTATGGTGAAAGAAGTATTATCCTACTAATTTATCACCTGCTATCTGTGAGATGGTTTGAGCAGAACTAGAAGGTCCCTCAAATGCTTTTAGAAATGGATGATCCATGCTGGTTACAGGGGATTCTAGAAGTTCAGCAGAAGGAGCCCCTGTTAAATAATGAGTTGAATTAAAAAAAAAAAAAATCACTTTGCAAGGTGCATTGAAAATATACATGATGGTGTCAAAACAAAGGTACAGATTCCTATGAACACTCTGTGCAAACCAAATAAACATGAGTCAAGAAAAATGCTACAGAAAATAGCTTCAAAAGAAATTAAAAACTTTGGTTCTTTACTTTCTACTGCTATGCTACAGTTTCTAAACTTCAAACCCATGAAAGCAGATCAGAACTTGAGAAAGAAATGGTGTGTATAAGGAAATAATAAAGAAAACAGTCAGGATAAAATGAGTTCATTACTACACGACACAAAAACTTCGAGCAGGAGAGATTTCAGGGTCCTTTTTTTATTTTATTTTTGTCCTGAACAGCTATTCATCTATGACTTTATTGAGGAAGACTTCGGCAGTATTAGGCTAAAGGATTAATGTAAATAAAAATTAAAATATTAAGAGAAAACAGTAGTTACGGAGTTCTTTCTAAAAGATATGCTCCAGTTCTATGAGAAGCTACTGTGCTGAACACCAAAATTATAGATTTTTTTTTTTTTTATAAAGATACAGGAAACTGGACAGGATGGTCACAGTGGTCTGCTGAAATAGAAAAAAAAAATCTGTCTTTAAGTCTTACTCTTATTGATCCAGTTCACCTTCAGACTCTGAAAGTCTATGTTGAATTCCTACTTCTCAAAAATACCTAGTTGTAGAAATCAAATTTCATCTCAGGTCAGCTGCACTTACCTATTCCGCTGTCATCAAGCCTCATGTAGCCCTCTGCTAGTGAGCTAAAACCAGTCAGTCCTCCCATAGCAGCGTAAGGAACGTCCTGCCCCACAGGCTTTCCTTGGGCTAACCTCTCCTGTTTAGTTTCCACAACGGTTTCATGTGCGTATGTTGGCTGACCACATCCACAGGTAAAGCAACTGTGAAATCCAGAACACTTGGAACCTAATTAACAAATAATGTATGTTATGAGTGAGATGATAATGGAATTTGTACCTCATAGCAGACAAAACAGTATTTTCCCAAAACTGATATTGTCAAAAACTGGAGACTTGTACAAGATCTGGGGCAAAGTAATCAGCTTTCTTTGCTGAAGCCTTTCACAGCCTCATTTCATCCCAGTACAAAAACGCATTATAAAACAGAAGGCGTGAACGTGGGGATTAGATCACAGGGTCATGCAGTCTCAGGGTCTCATCCAGTCAAGCTTTGAGAATCTCCAATTGCGATGGAGATTTCACAGCCTCTCTGGGCAGCATGGGCCAGTGCTGGGCTACCCTTGCAGTGAACTTTTCTTTCCTAATATTTATTTGGACTTTTTATGTTTCAACCTGTGTCCACTGCCATTAGTAACACCCTTCTCTTTCCCTCCTCTGATGAAAAATAAAAACAAAAAAAATCTGTCACTGGGTAGAAAAGACAAGCTGCCAGCATTTTGGTGGCATTATCTCCAACTGGGCACAGCAGGTGTCAATGCTGCATGGCCAGAAAACTTCTCATCATAATGTATGATAAAAATCATCAAATTTAAATGAATTTTAAGATTAGCAAAATTATCCCAGTATGAAACAGAACCTATGGTAACAGCAAAGGAGGTGCTACACAGGAGTACCATTAGACTGTCTCTCTCTGTTTGTTTGTTTTTTTTTAAAGTTTTACATAGCCATTAGATAAAACTGCAATGGTTATACAAATGGCAAGTGACATTCAGAAAGACAGGGTACAGAAATAGATCTGCCCCAACTATGGCTAAGACTAAACGTTACTAAAGCCCTGCTGGAGCAGTGATGGGAAAAAGAAATTGCAGAGTTGCAAGTGTTTCATTGTTCATATTGGTCTACATTACAAATCTATTTACAACGTGCCTCTAACCAACCCCAGTTACAGCTCATTTTGCAGAGCACCAAGGAAGGTTTGTTTTTTGTTTTTTTTTTAGAAAGACCTGTATAATATGCTTAAGAATCACATTCTTAAAATTGTTAAAGGTTTGTTTACTTCATTTGGGGCATTCCTTAGCAATTGAGTTCTTACTCTGATCCAGAACACAGTAGATAAGATAAAGTGCAACAGCAGTGTTTTTTCAATGTTACTGATATTACATCTCTAATTTATTTACCACATTACGTTTAGACAACTGGGCTAGACTAGTGCCAGTACAATAAAACAACACAAGTCCAAAACTGAAGCAAGTCTTGGCATTTCTTTGCATAATCTTTGAAGCTCTCAGAAGTGCCTGGTGTTTTTGAGGAACACCACAAAAAGTGCATAATGTAAATGATCATTAAAAACGTTTTGTTCTGAGGGTTCCGTTTGAATCATCCAATGGTGCATTTAAGCCTTACGCATTACTTAGAGAAAATTCTTGAAAGGCTGTCATATAAATATTTTATGTTTATTCTGTGGGATATGATTCTAATCTCATCCAGCAAAAGCTGATTATTATTATTTTACAGTGCCCATTAAACAGACTTCATGAGAGAAATGTACTAATATTATAGAATTATAACAAAAAATCTTCAGCTTGCATAATTTGAAGTTTCACAGAAAAACATCTTTATGAATTATTTAATCTCAGTGGTTAATAATTACTGCTGCCTCTCGATCAAGTGAAGCAAAAAGCTCCCTCTTACTGCCTACCAAACATTTTGCTTAAAATTTCATTGCCATTTGCATTTCTGGACCCACAATCACCATTTTTGGGAACTGCTTTCTTAGACTGTTAGCAATAGTACTATTTAGGAACAGTGCCCTACTTCCTACTGAGTTGAGAAAAAAATACCCTAATGTTACATTCAACCAGGCAATAAGAGGAATAGAGATGAGCATTTCTCTCTTTCAAACTACCAAATTCAGGCAAAAAAGTCAGATGCATGCAGCAGTGGAAGGGACACAATGCAAATGGGATGTTTTCATACTGCCTGATTTTAGGTGGTTAGACTCCCCATGTATTTAACCTAATCATTGAGGAAGTTTACAGTCCCTCACAGAAATTGGAGAACTAAGGATGTTCTAGATCTTCCTGTGCAAAAGGTTGTGCAGGAAAAGACCCTTCCTATCTCCCATCCTTCTGCAAAAATCGGAACGTGCATCAGTTAACAGCGGAGGGCAGACCTAGTACTCTGGGTACAGCTCCTGGTTAAGGTTACCAGTAAAGATGTGTAACTTACAAGAATTACATGAAAATCCAGGTGCTGCACTGTGCTGATCAGCAAAGTGTTTGCATCTACAGCGGATGGGCTGTGTGCCATTTAGAGGAACGTAGTGATAGGACTGGCACTGACAGCGGCTCACTCGACACGGCACACAAATAGGACGGTCCTTGGGAATCACTTCGTAGTCCGTTTTGTGTTGTTTATACCTAAAACAGGCAAAAGTAGTAACTTGTATAACCTTGTTAGTATTTATCACAAAACTAACTGAAAGGCTTAGCTTACAAGTTCTGGGATGAAGTATCTGTAATTATCTTAATTACTGCTACTTACTAATTTTTATTTAGATACAGAATATCAGATGCTTTTACATCCATTGTATGAAGATTACAGATCCTTATGTTTCATTTTGATAACACTATCGGAACCAAGCTGATCTACAATAACTCATGCCTTAAAGATGAATTTATTGAAGACTACAAAATTGTTCTGATTTCAGAAAAAAAGGTTATTTAGATTTAGATTTTTTAAAAAAATCTTATTATTTAAAACCTGATTTTCTGAACCTTTATACCTTAAAATAACTTGTCTATGCTGTACTTCATTGAATCTGGAATATTTTTATATTTCCCTAATTTAAGAAAAACACATCAGTGCAGAAAAAGACAAGAAGCTTACCGGTGAGTACAAAAGCACAGTGTCTCTGGTCCAACAAGCTTACAGTCCATGCCAGTTGGTGATCTCCAGCTCACATACAACCTGTTTTGTAACCGAATGGGTAACACTTTTCTTTTGTACTCCTCATATTCCTCAGGAGTAAAGATTTTTCCTCCATCATCATCACCTACAATTCTGTAAGCATGTTAAAAAAAGAAAAAAAAAGAGGAAATAAAAAGAGGTTTCTCAAGTGTTTTGTTTTTTTTCAAATAATAAATAATAGTACTTTTAATGTAAATGCAAAAAATCATGTATTTCATAGTACTATTCTAGTAATATAACAAAAGGAGGAAAACACAAGGAAAAAATAATAAACTATGAAACTATGAAGCTGCTTTTTATCCTGCAGAAAAAGCAGTCGGCACCACGGGTTGTGTAATCAGCCTGCTCTGCTTGAGCAACCTCTTGAGTGGTCTCTGGCAAGCCCCTTCACCCATCTACCCCCAAGTCTGTATTGCAGACTTGTATTAATTATCTAATCTTCATTGAGCCTGAGCAAGAATGTTTAACTGTAATTTGGGAAACGCCAGCACCAAGGAAGCAAACAATACACCTAAGCTACCTTCTAGCTTGCAAGAGAACCACGTGAGTTTCTGCAAAGGAATTGGAGCTGCACCCACACCTCCGACAAGCCCATCTGTTTGCATGACCACTGCTTTCCAATTCAGTCCCCGAATAGCTGGGACTCTGGACCAACATCCAAACCCTGCATTTCCGTAGACTACTGAAGACAAGGAAAACCTGTAAAATGCAAACTATACTTGACTGCAACACCTAGCTAAGCTGCAGCATAGTTTACTGATGTCTGTAAATATTTCAGTTATCATGTGCTGGGTGCACTCGAGCGTATGAAATAAGCGATCCTTTGGCCGTGCTGTGAGGATTTGCACATCACGGCAGCACAGCAGGGCGATGTGTCAGCACACCGCTCTCACCTGCGTGTCAGGGAAGTGGGCACCTGCCTGACTCGGCGTGTAGCTGCGCATCTAAGAAACACCGCTCCGATGCTTTATTGCACGCTTTCTCCAGCTAAATAACTGCGTTTCAGCGTAACGAGTTTGTGTTTATTGCTGCTGAAGCCGTCAGGAGGCGTGCCCAGGCGGTTGGGTTAGCACAGCCCCTGGGGAGCGTCAGGGCTCGCTGCAGCCCCGGCACGGGTCGGGCAGCCGGCAGCTCACCCCTGGCCCCGCTCCACACCACGGCGAGACACGGCGTTATTACTGCCCTGCCCAGTTCCAGCCGGCGAGGCCGCCAGAGCCTACCCGGCCCCCTCTCCTCAGCAGCCGGGCTCTGCCCCGGCTCCCCCCGGCCGCCCACCTGCGGTACTCCGCGTACTCGTCCAGCGCCGCCGCCTCCGCCCGCAGCCGCTCCATGGCCGGGGCCGCCGTTGGGCCGCCCGCGGGCGGGGCGCGCTCCGCCGCTCTCCCGCCCCCCGCAGCCACCCAGCACGAACCAGCGGGCGCCTGACACCCGCAGCCCTGCTGGCCGAGGCACCTGCGGCCCCCTCAGCGCCGGTGTTGTCGTTGGTGGCGGTGACAGAGCCTTGGCGAGGCTCAAGATGGCGAGCACAGGACCCCCAGTGAAGGGAACCCGCCTTGGGTCCCCTCACACGTACCTCACAACCGCCCTGTGGCTGCCCTGCTGGCACCAAAATCCCCGCTGATGTCGGGAAGCATCGTCCTGGTGATCTCCGCTTGCTTGCAGCAGACACATCTGCACTGAGGGATGTTGGTTGCCTGGGGCCCACATAACCCACCAGTGCTGCCACACAAGATGGTTTCCACGATCACTGCTTCTCCCCGCAGTGCAAGGCGGTATATATCAGTTTATACACGTTGGTTCAGAGGCACAAATTTTTAACAACAGCAATATTAACCATAATAACGTGATGACCAGCAATTGTTTGACTCTAGTAATAGCGTGCATTTCCAATTTTAGTTACTCATTTTTCCTGTAAATGAACAGCAGGTCTCTCCTACTACCATCAGCCATCATCTTCCTAGCAGGGGAGAATCCACTGCTATCACATCAGTCCCATGAGGAACAGAGAAATTTGTGGGTGTTGGTCAGGCTCCAGTAGCAGTCAGTGTTATTTAATCTTTTTATTCCCACTCAAGCTAAACTAACCAACCATGAGTTACCAATTTTAACCAGTTGCATGCTCCAGCCAATATACATCCCTGTCGGCTTCTGATTCTGGTGTTATGCACTGTGAACAAATAGAAGATCCTGGAAACGTACTGTGTGGTGTGAAAGAAATGCTAACAAATCCTTGCATGACTTGTCTTTCAGTCCATATTCAAACAATATAATAAAAGTCAATAGCATTACTCAGGTTATGAGGGGTAGAAGTACAGGGTGTGGATTCTAACTGCAATGATTAGCTACAGCCAAGTTGAATATTGCCAGGTGACGAGCCTTGCTGTGGAATATCTGTTTGGTTTTGCAAAGTTTATGAAGAGGAGGTATTTTATTTGATTGACTGATACAATGGGAAAAAATGGCTTTAAATAGAGAAGCTCAAGGACAAACAAATCTTTCTTCAGGTTTCGCTTTGACATTCAATGTCCTACTGTGTAAGAAGGGTTCTTTGCTTTTACAGCCTTATGAGTGGATGGATGGTAAAGACGCTAGCAAAAAAAAATATGTACCATCTCAAATGTTAAATTCTCTTCCTGACTTAAAATTCTTGTCTTCAGTTTATTAGACAAAAATTATACACCAAAGAAGTTACAGACTTTGTGTAATGATTACTGAAAGGAGATTTCTGAAAATATGGTTTTAACATGTGTGACCATTTCTCCATGCTTTTCCACTATTCCAAGTTTTTTAATTTATAGTTTGAGTAAAAGGAGGTAATTTTGTAAACAAATCCATTCTAAAATATTTAATAGAGAGGCCCCTGGTGGAGCTGGCTGTCCCCCTGCAGCCCATGGGTCGCACATGGAGCAGATCTCCACGCTGCAGCCCCCCCATGGGTGGAGGAGCCCCTGGTGGAGCAGGTGGATGTGGCCTGGAGGAGGCTGCGGCCCATGGAGAGCCCCCACAGGAGCAGGTCCTGGGCCGGAGCTGCAGCCCGTGGAGAGGAACCCATGCAGCAGCAGGAGATCTGGGCCGCCTTATCTCAACCCTTGAGGCTTGTCCACCGTTTTTCTTCTTTTCCATTTGATGGAAAATGCAGTTGTGGTGGAGTTCAGCTGCCCAACAGGGTAAAAACACCACATTTAACAAAGAAACCTCCTGCCCTGGATTTCTCAACACAACCTACAAACCCTTCACATGTTTTTATACATTTTGATTCTAGAATCTCAGCAGGTGAACTTATACCTAGGAAATTTCATTCTTGTGAATGAAGGAATCTAGAGAGGTTGCAAAGAACAGGACTCTGTTGCAACAGAGTCATCAAGGAACTCAGCTATAAAATTCTTCGGAGCAGAGACAGTCCCTATCTTTGTGACAGAATCCAGAGCTGTTGTTATAAATAAATAAATGTACTATTTCCATTTACACAAAAAGTCTTCAAAGATTTATTTAATGCAGAACATGAAAGCTGCCTCTTGAAATCATAAATCTTACCTTTAACTCACTGATGTTCTTTGGAAGCTTGTCCTTTATAAAATTTTGTTCATAGTCCAAGACAAAAGGAGGCCAACTTAGGAAAACTATCAAAACCAAAGATGGTCTTAGGTGGGCAACCTGCAATTCCCACTTGCTCTTGATGTACCACAAACAACCACTTATGCCACCATTCCTCCAATGTGCTTAAAGGCTGCTGTGCGTAGACCACAGGCTGCTATTTCTGATACTTACTGCACTATCTGTAAACCAACTGCTTCCTCTTGATAAAAATATGTCGATCACCATGCTTTAAACATAGCATCTGAATATGAGAGCAGAAAATGTATACTTAATTGAGCTTAATTGTACATTAGCATAAGCTATGAGCTCTTACTCAGGCTGTCAGAATAAGACCCGAGAGGGTAAGCTTTTTTAATACAGTAAAATGATACGTGCCTGTTGAAAAATGTACAGCCATTCAATGAAATCTCCAGATTGTTTTGCACTGGGCAAGCCACCAGCAACAAAACAGAAGGTGAAGAGAGATGTCACATGGACCAAGGCAGTGTTTTGCCAATGCTTTCCCCAGAGAGAGATGAAACAACAGGGAGACTGTCAGGTTTCCAGCAGTATCTAAATAAGGTGACAGAGCATATGGTTTGGCCATTTGTCCTGTGGCTATGCCACACATATAGGAAACTTCAGTGGAACAGCTAGCACTGACATACAGCGTGGATGTTTTGTCCCTGCTCTGAACTCAGAGCAGGTCCTTCTTAAATGCAGAAGAGAGAGTGGGAGCAAGTCATCACTGCAGTCAATACCTTATCGGGGAAGCTAGCTGAGGAAAATAAACCCACACAAAGATGTCAGGATTGTTTCTCCAAGGAAAAGAAAGTTCCTCCAGTGACCAAAGTTTTGAAACAGGTGGTGGAAAGAGCAGTTGAAAAGCAGGATGAGCAGCTCTGCAAAAAGAAAACTAGAATGTAATGAGGAACACAGTACTGTACAGGAGCTGCAGTAAAACTGAAGATCTTTGGAATACTTCATCTGTATGCACGTTTCACTGGTGCCAGGGATTCCAGCACCACCAGTACAATGGGAAGTGCCCCCTGACAAACCTGGTTCACACAGAATCGGTGGAGCTCCTCTGTCATGGGTTGACATACCTCATCCAAGCAATCTTTGTTAAAAACTGTGCTTTAAATAGTTTGGCTTTGAAGAACAGAGCTGTGTTTCTGAGTAAAGCAGAAGGTGAGGGAAACAAATGTTCAGCTGTGTCGTATTTCAGTATCAGATTATCTGTGAGCAGTCAGTATGAAGCTGTTGAGAGTAAGAAATAAAGTTTTTTGTGGGTCACCTGTCCTATGAATTACCTGTCTTATACCTTAAAAAGCGTTTATTACTGGGTTTGGTCACAGCAAGTGATCTCTGTTTTAAAGAACCTCTGTTCAGCTCATTAGTACCCCAGCATCTGCTTGGATCCAAATTTGTGCTCATAGACTTATTTGGGAACAGACATAAAAAGCGAAGGACTTCAGCAAAACGACCCATTTCTTAATTATGACACAGGCATTTCAAGCACCTGCTGCTTCACTGTCGTAGCATATCAGAATACATATTTGATTCAGAAAACCCTAGCCTGTCTCCCATCTATTCTAAGAAACTGTTGGTGGACATTTGAAATAAAGTTCATTAAAGCCTGAGTCAAACGATAATCCATGGTAAACCACTGAATAATTTTGAACAGCAGGGTGAGGGGGAAGAAGGCTTTTCGCCACTGTGGCACTCGCTGTTTACAAGGTAAGTGAACAGAACAGAAATCCAGATGGCAAGTTTTACCTCCTATGTCTGTGATGGAGCATACGGATGCTGCTGGCCCAAGATCTCTGAACATATCAAAGTGGGTTGAACATATGGACGCTCACTTACAGGACAGCTCTGTGAGACCTAAGGTGCCACCTACACATCGAAGGCAACAGCTTAATGCTGCATGGAGTGTTGACAGTCTCCCTCAACACCCTCTGTTAACAATAAAATGTGTGACCCATTAAATCTTTAAAAATTCTTACAAGTTTGACAAGTGCTTTAAAATTCAGTAGAATACCTGTGTAAATAGAAGTTAGCTGCTTTATTAATGCAAGGATAAATGAGTTAGATATAACCGTTTTAATGTTTTAGGTGAGTCATCATTTTGAATTAGTACTTATTCTATTTCTATAGATTTGCTCATTGACTATCTCTAATTAACTGTTCTGAAAATGAGTGACATAAGTAACATTCACATTTATCAATATTCTGATATACTTAAAAACAAATGCAGGCAATATTCACTGTAAGCTTCTAACCACAACCATATAATATGCTATAATTTAAAAAAAATAATGTGTTTTATTCACCCTGCTTCACAAGCATTTAAAAATGTCACCATTTCTCTTTGGTTTTGCTGTCAGAAAAACGGAATGTGATTGGACATCTACTGAGAGCCACAGGGAAAGTGTAAGCTCAACTGCAAGTCAAGGGTCCATTAATAATGATAGGTTTTTACTGGAGGTACTAAGAAACATACTTGGGAACTTGCTAGTAAATCATATCATTTACTAATTATTCTGCAGCATACAATGCCACTGGCATTTAGGTGGTGTGATTACGTATATGTATGTCATATGAAGTTTTCTTTCACTTTAAATTGGGCCACAGTTTAATAACCTTCATATTTTTAAACGGATAGAAATGCACATGTACGTCAGCCCAGACAAGCTGAGATTTAGTGAAATACCAATTCAGTGACAGTCTGTTGTGTATGAGACACGCTACAGAAGTCTGATTCACCTTTTTAGCTGACATCAAAAGAAGTCTCCCATTTAACTCCTGCCTCTTAAAAAAGTATATATACTATCAAATATATTAGCTAAACTCCACCAATAGCAGCCTGTGTTGTTTTATGAAGCACAG